GAAAGACTTTAAGAATCATACAATTATCTGAATAGATTCAGAAAAAACACTTGACAAAATTAAACACCTTCGTCATAAAAACTCCCAACAACCTAGGGATAGAGGAAACTTACTTTAACAGAACAAAGGTCATATAAGGCAAACTGATACCTAATATCATACTCAATGTCAAAAGTTTGAAAGCTTTCTTTCTAAGATTCGGAACAAACCAAGAATGCCCAGTCTCACCACTCCTATTGAACATAATATTGGAAGTCTTAGGCAAGAAAAAGAAACAAATGTCATCTAAATCTGAAAATAACAAACAAAACTGTCACTGTCTTATAGATAGGATCTTATATACAGAAAATCTTAATGACTCCACCAAAAAACTGTTAGAACTAATCAATAAATTCAGTAGAGTTGCAAATACAAAATCAACATACAAAAATCAGTTGTATTTCCATCCACTAATAACAAACTATCTGAAAAGAAATGAAGATCCTATTTACAATGGCATCAGAAAGAATACAGTATCTTGGAATAAATTTGACCAAGGAGGAAAAGATATTTACACTGAAAACTGAAAGCTTTGATGATAGAAATTGAGGAAATGCAAATAAATAGATGCCCCATGTTAATAGATTAGAAGAATAAAATTGTTAAAATTTTCACACTACCTGAAGCCATCTATAAATTTCATGCAAATTCTATCAAAATCCCATTGCATTTTTCCCAGAAATAAAATAAACATACTAAGATTTATCTGGAACAACAAAAGACCAAGAAAACCCAATTCAATCACAAGAACAAAGAACAAAACTGAAGGCATCACAAATTATATTCAAACTGCATTTCAAACAATATTACAAAGCATTAATAATAAAAATAGTATAGTACTGTCATAAAAACAGGCATATATGACAAGAGAACAGCATAGAGAGCCCAAAATAATCCCACACATATACAGTCAACTGATATTTGATATGGGAACAAAGAATATTCAATGGGAAAAGGACAGTTTCTACAACATATGGTGTTGGAAAAATAGGATATACATATGCAAAATAATAAACTGAATTTCTACCTCATACCATTCACAAAAGTCAACTCAAAAGGAAATAAATACTTACATGTAAGCCTTAAAACTGTAAAACTGCTAGAAGAAAACATAGGAAAAAAGTCCCTTGACTTTGGTCTTGGGAATATTAGACGTGATACCCATATGTGATATGAGTGACCCAAGTGTCCACCAGTAGATGAGTGGATAAATTAGAAGTGGTATATATAAAATCTGCCTAGATAGATAGATAGATAGATAGATAGATAGATAGATAGATAATATTGACAATATATATTATGGAACACTATTTGACCATAAGAAAGAATGAGATCTTGCCTTTTGCAACAACACTGGTGGACCTAGAGTGTAACATACTAAGTGAAATAAGTTAGACAGAGAAAGACAAATACTGTATGTTTTTATTTATATGCAAAAACTAAAATGAAAAGCTCACAGAGAATTTAATTTGGTTGCCTGTGGTTAGGGGTATGGGGGAACAGAGGAGACATTGGTCATGAGTATAAACATCTAGCTGTCATATGAATATGGCTTAGGGACCTAATATGACCATAATTAACAATACTGTATTTATTATATAATTGAAATTGTTAAGAGAATAAATCTTAAATTTATTGCAAAAAAATTATGTCACCACATACACAAAAATGTGTAATTATGTGAAGGAATGAATTAACTAATCTTACTGTGATAATCATTTCATGATATATATGTGTGACCAATCATCATATTGTATACCTTACTTTTACATATGCTGTATGTCAATAATATCTCAATAAATTCAGAGAGCAAATAAATAATGAATGTATTCCTGACACAAATTCATGCTTGGTACCTACTAGTTGCTAAATAATTAGTTGTTAAATAAGTAAATGAATAAATTTTGAATCTTATATTTGATTTTTTTTAATGAATGCATGACTTGTAGTGAATTTTGTCCTTTGGTTTTGGTCTATAATTTCAGATACTAATTAATATCTGAACTAGTTTTCCTAATTGTATGTTATTCACAACATTGAAAAGCATGTCTTCCATATCTTCATTTGAGCTGATGTTAATTATATCTGAATTGCTTGACCAAGTAGCTTTGTCTATACTTATATCTTTCAATAATAATTCAAATTTATTCTTCCCTCTCTACCCTTCACACTTGTAGAAGAAGTAATGTTCACCAAATTTTCCATTTATCCATCTTCATATCCTGGGACCTTTACAGTAGTATAAGTTGGCTCTATTCTATATGTATTGACTGGATCAGAAACTCTGGGAGTGGAGCTCAGTAAATTTGTGTTTTAACGTGTCCTCCAGGTGATTCCATTGTACACTGAAGTTTGAAAATTTTATGTATCGCCTGTTCTGACCAAAGAAATACCTAGCCATTTTTTGATCAACATAATGAACATAAGCTCCACAGTAGAGATATTTTGTTTTTCTGTTCAGTGCTATATCCTTATCAAATAAAATATATATAGAAGTTGTTCAATAAATGTTTAATAAACATTATACATTTTTGTCCACAGTAAATCATCACAACTTGAGATATTCTTCTTTCCTATCTTCTAAAAAGTAGCTTTGCCTAAATCAGAACTGACTCTAAAAGAAGAAAATGAAATGAAGTATTGTAGAGAAATCAATTGATTTGAAAGATCTTTTACTTTCTTAAAGTTTTTTTATCATTATGAGTATTTTTTTGAAAGAAAGATTATTCTATAGTGATTAATTACCTTAGATTGTTTTTCAAAATTCTAAGAAAAAATTCTTACATGATTTTCCCTAGAAGTTGGTAATTTACAGTTTCTCTTGGTAGCCATGAGAATGTAACTTTCCAACATCCATCCACAGGAGTGTAAATAACCAAGAACCACGGCTGCTGAGTTCTGAAATCTATCACTGTATTTGTACTGAGGCAAATGTTATCCATAGACTGTTCAGAGCAGTAACTAAGTGTGATGGAAATACTGACACACCTCTTACCTGAGAGACTTTTCTGACTGCCAACTTTGTTTGAAAAGTCCCCAATAGCTTGGCAGAGCTCTTCTTCAATGGCATGGCAGTCTACAGAATTTCCACTCAACCTTCCTTTCTTCTTTTACTCCATCAGACTTGTAATCATCTAAGTTCAACCACTAATTTGAATCTAGTTATATTTAGGAAATTTGGTGACTTCTCTAAGCATGTGAAAGAAGGAAATATTATAGTATAATAATCATTTTAAACAAATTTGATGAGGGCCCCAATATCATGGCAAGAAAAAAAATTTAGGAATGATGACAAAGGAAGGCACATAAAATAACCATTTAATATAGCTGATCCATCTAAACCAGGTAAGAATTTTTATTCAGCTTTATTCTTAAGAACAGAAATTTGTATGTGATAGGACTTATTTAAGACTTTTTCCTTTTCACCCTCTATTCACTGCCAGAATTCTCCCATTTCTAGCTTATGTTTAAAACTCCGCAATTAACACTTCCATTTTTGACAATGTTTTCGTGTCCTATAATGCACATGAAGGGTGTTTTGAATTGAGATCACATTTTCAATTATATATATATATATGTGTAATATATATATAATTAAATATAACATATTTTATAACATATTTTAGTAACTCTTAATAAGAAAATATAGTGGATAGAACAGATGAGGATACTTGAGACCTAAATAATTGTTCATTGAAGACAGATAGCACTGACTGTAGTGACTCAGGAAATTAGGTATAAAAGTGAGTCTAAGTATACTGAAAACTTACTTTTATACAGAGTTGGTGTTCCTAATAATTTATAACTACTACATTTATTAGGAATGAGTTGAGCAGCAAATATAAGAAATTCTGACCAAATACAGTATAAAAAATTGTTTTTTGCCTCACATAACCAAAAATCTAGAGATAGCAGTCTGGTGTTGGCACAGTGGCCACTGGGGTATTGATATAGGTCCTTCTACTTTGTCATGTTTAAATGACCCACTTTCATCCTTATGGTTGTTACCTCATAATCACAGTATGGCTGCTATATTTCTAGAATTATGTCCACATTGTAAGCAGGAAGAAGGAAGGATCAAGGGATCTTCCAGCCAGGTCTATCTATTTTTATCAAGAAAACAAAAACTGACCCAACATAATTCCATTTATATCTCATTAATCAGAATTGTGCCACACAGCCAATCCTAGCTAGAAGATAGTAAAGAAAAAAGTGTTGCGTGTTCACTCTAACCACATATATAATATTAAAAGTGTGCCAACTACTGTGGCCTACCCAGATACTCTTAATAAGAGCTTTAAAATAAATTTTCTCGGGAAACCTGGGTGGCTCAGGGACCAAATTTAGCTCAGGTCATGATCTCACAGTTCATGAGTTCAAGCCCCATGTCAGGCTTTGTCCTGACAGCTCAGAGCCTGAAATCTGTTTCAGATTCTGTGTCTCTGTCTCTCTCTGTCCCTCCCCTACTCATGCTCTATACCTCTTTCTTTCAAAAATAAGTAAACATTTTTAAAATGTTTAATTAAAAATAAAAAATAAATAAGTTTTCTTGATATAATGCCCTAAGCAAAACAGCAGCTGCTATCATCTGTCTTTTCCTAGTCTGCACTTTATATTTTATTCTATTTTCTCAATACTTCATTCCTACATAGTCCAGTCATTCTTAGGAGTATTAGCTGAGCCCATAAAAAGCATGAAGAACTATTAAAGAAAAGATGATATGTGAAGTATCTTATACTTTACCTCTCTTATGTATGCTAAACATAAATGCATTATTATATTTATGCACAATATATTTCCCGAGTTGTGTTATCAGTTGCATTCAGTGGGTAACTTTCCTTTCTCTTATGTAAATAAGCCATCTTCAGTGTCTTGAGCTATATAAATAATATCTCTCCTAAAGATAGTTAATAATATTACTTAGGAGTTCCCCAGTAGTTTTCATTTTGGGAGGTTTTGGAAAGCTTTCTCTAATATCCAGAGGTCTTTTCCACTTTATTAGGAATTGTGCCAGGGTTTCTATTATATATTCAGTTACATCTGCTGCTTCCACACATTTGGGATACCAGGAACACAGATGTTCTTGGCTCCCAGCCACCTCCAGCCTTGTTTCCTCTGCGAGTAAATTTTTTCATTACACATTTATCAAAGCGTGTTACTTCCTGGTTGGTCCTCATCCGTAGTGCTAGATAGGCCATATCATAGTAATTTTCCTTTTAGCTCTTTCTCCTCTTCTCTAGTCCATCACAAGTGACCAAAGACCCTCAAATTTTACCTCAAAGAAGACTAGAGCTAAGCAGAGGCAACTTCAGTTCTAATATGAAAGGATTCAATGGAAATTGACAGCAGTAGTTTCATGAAATGTGAAGCCCAAAACACTAGAAATAAAATGAAATAACTAGTGTTGATATTCATTTTTGAACACCAAGTGATGTAACTGCCTTTAAATTGTTAAATTTAGAATTCAGTATTTCCAAAACTTAAATCATCTGGAAATACTAAAATCATTGATTCCAAGCCCCACCCTAGACATCCTAAATACAAATTTCAAGGAGAAAATTAGAAATGTGTACTTTCAAAGAATTTTTATGATCAGAATATTGAGAAACATAGTGGCATTTGAATATTTATTGGCAGCACAGAAAAGATAAAAAATCTCAATATTTCACTCTTAAAAATAGAGTTAGGATGACTACCTGATGATGCACAGAGAAAATATAGATAACATAAACAAAGGAGAGTAGCTACTGTAGGTAGACAGTTTTTTGCTTGGAGATAAGTCTTAAGATGTGTTTTTTTCCTTATTTTTTTTTCATATCATATCAAATGAAAGATTGATTGGAAACACAATGAGAGAGGTGAAAAAATTCTTCATAAGTGTTTTCTTAGGATGGAAAGGAAAACCCAAGGGAAAAAATCAGAATGTCCTTACACTTGAGTGAGCCAACCCTGCTGATCAATAAGCTTGTTTCACAGAAGACTAAAACTTCCCTCCACAGGATGCCACCCTGCAGGGGCAGGTAAATGGGGCTAAACACAATGGGTGGGGTTTCTATGAAAGGACCAGAGGTGGGATACACAGGGAGTCAAACTCCAAGGAGGAAAATCTGTTCCTTTAATCCTTTTCAAAATACTTTTCAGTTGAAAGAAAACCAAAATCACAATATTCTGATCTTTCTCTCTCTCTCTTGAAATTAATAATATTATTTATTATGGCCAATATGAGAACATCAGTCAGCCCCTTAAATTATTTAAATGAAACTATTCCACTTGATTTGGCGCTAAGGCTCAAATGGTTTTAAGAAGTAATAATAGCTATTGGGGGGATTTTAAATGCAGAGTTAGAAAATCTCTGCTGGTACCCTGCTTTCTATTAAACAGAGTTACAGAAGCCTGCTGTCCCCATTATAACTGTAACTCACCATGAGGCTCTGAGCCAGTAATATCAGCTATGCTCCCTGTGGAAATCTGTAGAAAGAAAAAAAAATCCAAATATATTTTATATGACTTGATTGATAGATACAGATCTTTCTGGATTCACAGATAAAGATGATAGATAGATAGATAGATAGATAGATAGATAGATAGATAGATAGTACATTTTAGTTGTTAGTTTGACATTTGACAGCCCTGGTAAAGTATGGCTTTTACCTAAAAACTCTCCAAATCTACTCTCAGCATCTCACAAAGAACAATAATTGTTTATTGATCTAAGTGTTAACAATGTATAAATGAGGTCTAGAAATAAGTTCAAGGGCAATCATTGCCCAGGACAATAATTTTAAGGTACTTTTCCATTATCTATAATATGAAGTTAAATGTATATATTTTTGAAATCTCATATAAATTTTTTATAAACAGCTGTTTAAAAACATGGTAAAACTTAGTATGGGTGAGCATAAACAAGTTGTTTAACCTCTTCATGCTTCTTTAAAAAATAAAAAAATCTGTTTGCAAATTCTTGAGATTATAGATAAAAAAACCACCATGGAAAGTCAAATTACTCTTATTCCTTGTTAGGATAAAAAAGTAAAAGGTAGCTCCTGGAACCATTTTCTATAGACAGGATGTATTCAATCAAATAAATGTGTTTTCTGTATTTGAGTGAAGATGATAATAAGAATCAGTTAAATTTTCCCATATCTAGGCCATAAAATATAATCACCAAGCATAGCACAGGCAAAAAAACTAGATAATATCATATGTGCATATATGAAAATTTTTATAAATAAATAATCCCTTTAGTTATGCTGATTGTTTGGTTTGCTATATATATATATATATATAGCAATTTATATAAATCTATATTTTAGATTATATATATAGCAATTTACATAAATCTATATTTTAGTTTGCTATATATATAGCAATTTATATAAATCTATATTTTAGATTATATATATAGCAATTTACATAAATCTATATTTTAGTTTATATGGCATTCCTAACATCCTTTCTTGTACCTCTACTTCTGGTAGCAGGGCATCTATCTTCCTTTTGTGAGTTGTCCTTCTCCCATCCAATATATAGGAACAGTCAGTCACAGGTTTGGGATACCACATCCTAGCTGAGATGAGCACTTGCTCCAGACTCCCAGTCCCCTTTCCACAGTGACTGAGCCAAGAAATGGTCATGGAATCCTTATAAACCCAATTGGAAAACTTTCTCATAAGATATTTTATGAATTCTAGGGGGGAAATATTTTCCTTTCTGGATTGGGCCTGCCACTAGCCACCTTTCCCATCATATGAAGAGAGATCATCTTTGGCAGGAGAAAATAAAGACAACACATAGATGCAGAGGCAAGCAAGAAGAGAAAAAAGTGGGAGGGGTGAAGAAGTGAGGACAAGAAATAATTAGCAAACTGCTGGGGTTTTTGAGTCCAGTCATCCTTAAACCCTTCCTGGTTTAAGTCAATTTAAGTTCAGTGCCTTTCTATAAGTGAAGAAGTTTGGTTAACACACACACACACACACACACACACACACACACACACACCAATCTATATTCACAGATTTGTAGACAAATTTGTCTGGATAATGTATAAAAGACAGGTTTTTATCTTCTCAAGACAGAAATTCTCCACAGACCATTTCTTTAAGACTCTCCGGGTTCCAACTGGTTAAAAAAAAATCAGACTCAAAAATATCTTGAAGCAAAAGACAAAGCACCAACTATCGAAGGGTGGTTTCTCCAGCTCTGCAACTGTTCCATTGAGAGCCAAACTAGAGAACTGCTATCTCCCTTGAAACAAACTACAAAAGAAATGAAAAAGAAGACAAAAGAAAAGGAAGGCATTGAGAAAGAGATGATTGTCAGCTAAGGGGACATCTCACTGAAGATGTCCCTGAATTTCTTTATTTTTTTTAATCACCTCTCCGCTACCAAAGTAGTGAGTCAAACACCCAACAAAAGAAAGAGGTAAGGCTAACGGGATGATTAAGTTCCTGAAGTCCTAAGATATTTCTATGATTACATCAAAATTAAAGTCAAAGTCATATGAAATACCCTTGAGATCTATGTCATAATCCCATTCGGGTGCCTGACAAACCTTGAGAAGCCAAAGTGACAATTACTGATTTACCTTTCTGTGCTGAAAATGGAAGTTGAAAGCTAAGTGGCAACGTAAAGCTAAGCACCTCTGAGACTGAGTTTCAAGTCTGGACTAGACAGAAATGACAGAAAATCATTAAGAACAAAAGGCATTAAAAGGTCAGATATAAATTGTTATCAAGCCCTATTTAGCCATTTTATCAGTCAGAATTTTCTTTTTGCTCTCAAGACTGTGGTAACATTTTCTTATCTCTGGAGATGAATATGATATTATAAGGATTGTTACATATACACTGATATTCAGATTCTGAGAATAACATTCTGTACGAAAAGACTGTTTGCAACAAAATGGACTTTTAAATAGTTTTTAAAAAATACATAATTGTCTTGTCTTTATTTGTCTGGAATGTTACTTAGTGTTCAGGTACTGTGAAGTTTATCCTTCATGGAGGAGAAAGCCAGCAATGTCTTCATGTGTTTAGATTTCAGTGCAATTCTTGGTGAAACAGACAGATTAGCCCCAAGTCAATCCCACAAATAACAAATCTCCCTTCCCTCTCCCTCTTTTCCTTCTCTGTCCCCTTATCTTTCCATCCATTTGGCCAAGAGTGGTGATTTGCCATTTCAGAATCAAGAGATAGGGGAAAATTGATGCAGATATCTCAGAAACAAAATTTGATCTTCAGCTAAATGAGCATGTTAGTGAATCACAATTTCTATACTCTGCATTTAAATTGTAAAAGTGGAAAATGATGGGTTAAGGGATTGAGTAAAGGAGAGGAAAGAGCCTTAATCATTTTAGCAATTAGTATGTAATGTCCTAAAATGATCCACTAATCACTCCACAGCTGGTACACTGAAAAAACACAGGGTACATAAGCATTCCTCAAATGTCATAGTCCAAAGGGATCAACACTTTAAAGAATATGGGAAAAACATAAGGAAGAGGAAAACTCATAGACCTGCCTTTGGAAACATACAGAAGCCTTGAATTAACTAAGCAATCTATGGCTTAGTTCATTTTGAATGATATTACATTTTAATGACAGCAACTTAAGAGTTTCACTATCTTTTTTAAAATTAAAGTTTATTTATTTATTTTGAAAGAAACAGAGACAGAGTAAGTTGGAGAGGGAGAGAGAGAGAAAGGGAGAGAGAGGGAAACCCAAGCAGGCTCCCCACTGTCAGCCCAGAGCCCAATGGAGGACTTGAACCCACAAAGCCATGAGATTGTGATGTAAGCCAAAACCAAGAGTTGGCCACTTAACCAACAAAGCCACCTAGGCTCTCCAAGAGTTTCACTATCTTTAAACAGGATAATATATTCACCAAGAGGAGAGCTTGAACTAAATCTTCAAAGGCCTTTTCAAGGATCTTTTTAGGTCACAATCTCAGAGGTCAGCAACAAAATTATTTTTCTGGATTTACTTAATCAAAATCTGTATATACTACTTAAATAAATAGTCCCATCTGCAGGTTTTTCATAATCACATGTCCTAATACATAAGATATCATATCTATGAACCACAAGTAAAAGAATTTATAAAGAAAGGAAAGGAGAGGGGAGGAGAAAAGAGGAAAAAGAAGGAAGGAAGGAAGGAAGGAAGGAAGGAAGGAAGGGAGGGAGGGAGGGAGGGAGGAGAAAGCAAAGAAAGAATGAAAGAAAGAAGGGAAGGAAGAAAAAAGAAAAAGGAAAGAAAAAAAAGAAAGAAACCACCTGAAAATAACATTCAGGAATTAACTGGAGTTTTTGCTTCATATAACATAAAACATAATGTGCTGCTCAAAGGTAAGAGCTTTTCTTGCAGGAGAAGCTAGTAATTTGAACCCACCCACAGGTAGTTGATGATAATGGTGACTTAAATAGTTATATACCTCTAATTATCTCATGTTTTATTCTTCAGATTCCCACATGAGGATATTTTTTGCTTTGTTATGAATTTGTATGCTAACCTTGCTGCTAGCTTCAACACATTCCTAAAACTACCTGTCTCTGCACCCTACTATATAGTGCAATCAAAAAGAAAAATGTTAGCTGCGCAATAGCTATTTGGTTCTGATGCTGCCTTCCTTTAAATTTAGTAAGAAGGTCTTGGGCCATTTCAGTTTGCTTCATTATCAGAATTGGTATCCATTTACCTATGATTTGTTCTTCACAGTGATCAAATTCAGAGGTACTGCACTGGGTGTACGGTAAGCTGACAATTGTCAAGGCTCTTCCTATGGCCATTGGTGTCTCCTTTTACACTCCCCAGCTGTAGACTGTAAAACCGATTCAAATTATCTAGAAGCCCTGAGGTTATAATGATGTTCATTTATGGAGCGCCTTTATTCAACAACTCGAAGTATTATGTAGGAAGTCCCCGTGACAAAAGCTCCCTTACCAAATCCTGAAGAGTTGTATATATGCATAGTTAAGTTCAGGCAGAAAATATGGAAATAATTAATCAATGTGAAGAAATATAGAATGACATTGATTATACCCTGATTTTCAACCCATGGCAGAACTATTATTTTTCTTAAGTCAGGTTTATTTCTAAAAATGATTAACATATGTGTGTTTAGCCACATAGTTAGCCACACACAACTAAGACCAATTCATGGATGAGCATATTCTTATAGTTCAATTAACCCACAATTCATGCACAAAAGTTAATAGATTCCTATAAAACTTCAGCTACTTTATTCCTCCTGTCATCTGAATAATATTGTGAGTCATATCTGGAGAGAGGCATTGCTTTCTCCTTTCTTTTTCTATTTTGCCCGAGGTTGTGCTGCCTGCCTGTGTGCCCCTGTCACTGAAAGGAAAAGAGATATTCGCTCTTTTATAAATAAGAACACAGAATCTTTCTCTTTACATTAGATTATTTTCCAGCTAAATGGATTATTTTGGCCAGGCTAAGTTTAGTAAGAAC